AGAACTCCTTCCAATTATTCCAATTTGATAATTTTTGCAGAACTAAGAATTCATGGGGATGTGGGCAGGGTTGTCAAAAGGAATAATAGAATCTTGGAAGGGAATCCCAAGGGTCATCTAGTCCCAGTCCCTGCAATGAAGGTATCTCAGCTAAAGCATCCATGACAGATGGCCACACAACCTCTGCTTAAAAACCTCCAAGGAAGGAGAGCCCACCATCTCTTGTGGGAGTCTGCTCCACTGCTGAACAGCTCTTACTGTCAGAAAGTTTTTCCAAATGTTTAGTCGGAATCTCCTTTCTTGCAATGCATGGAGAACTGGTGTGGGCAGGAAATATATCTGGGAAGGAAAAGATTGGGAGCCAAAGAGATGGCCAAGAGGAAGTCTCCAGCCCATCAGCGCATTAGCTGACGCTCTGCGTGTACCTGTGGTGTAGGTGTGTGATGTGTGTGTGCCATATGTGTGCATGTATGTCTGCATTGGAGCATGTGTGAGTGCTCTGTGTGTGCATGCTGTTTTGTATGTGTACATGTGTACACATGTGCAATGTGTATTGTATGTTTCTATGGTACATGTATATGAGCGGGAGTTGGGGTGACCCTGCCAGCTCTGGACATGCCCACTTTTGTTTGGGATGCCACCTTCTCATCCAGGGGCTGTTTCTGCTTGGCTATGAGCGTTGAGCGCCCCAGTCATCCTGTCACACAGTGCATCTGCTATCCTACTTTTGTTCCTCTCCAAGGAGCAGTCCTGACATTTTCCTCATTGCAACATTTGGAAAGATGGACTGCTGTAGCACTCGGGTGGAAGAAACTGTACCTGAGGAAATTATCGGATCTAGAGCACTGAAAGATGCCATTTCTGGATATGAAGGTATCAATCCCTGGCCCATATATGTTGATGTTTTCCTCTCCACTGACATGTGGCATAACATGTCTGTATCTATGCAGGTCTAACTAGCCTCCTGTCAAGGATCACACAAGTGTGTGTCTGCATGTTTCCTCCCTCTGCAGCTAAAAGCTGCTTTGAGGGAGGCAATTTGAATCAGAGCTTGTGAGGCAGTGTGAAAAGGGTTAGGTCTCTGATGTACGGCAGCTCCAAATCAAATTGTCCCCACCCCAAAGTTGCTTTTAAGAGAAGAAAATCACAGAACTCTGGTAGCACTCAGACAAGAGCAGTCTAGAGCTGGGGATCTGGTTTGCAGCCTCACTGCCAGTTCAAGCCCCAATCTTTCCGAGCAAATTATTTATTTAAATCCATCAAGTCGATGTGGCGTTAAGGTACAAATGCATGCTGCAAGTTGTGTGACAGAAGGAAGATGGCTGTTCACCCAATAATCTAGGGGACAGACTGCCCAGTTAATTGCTCTATGCTAACAGTCAGGGTCAGTTCTTGGCCACAAAAATTCCTTTAACCATATTTTTAAGGGGTGGGGACATTAATATAAACCAGGCTGCAAACATAAAGCCACAGCAGTTCATGTATTCCCAGCATATAGGAAGATTGTGCCACGACCTCCTCCTCCTCAACTTCCCTACACCTGGAACAGTCATTCCACGAGAGTACACCTGATGGGGGAAGAAGAGGGATGCCAGGCCACTCCATCCAAGCAACTGAGATGCCAGCAATTTTTGATTTCCCCCTCTTTTAAGCCTTTCCATCCCAGCTGGTCATTGGAAGAACATGTTACTAAGATCTGATGCTCATGGTTGTATATTTCCACTTCCCTCCCCACAATCTATTCTCCCCCTCCCTCCCTTTCTCTTCTGCAATGTCTTTTTTTAGCTTGTACACCTGAGGGCAGTGACTGTCTTGTTTTCATTGATCTGCAAGTCACTTTTTGTGGTTGAATAGCAGGGCAAGAACTATTTAAATAAATAAACATGCTTCGGACACAGGTGAAATGGCCCTGGCATTCACACCGAAGAAGCACGGGGTGAAAGGGAACAAAGGGGAATTTAGTCTACCATCAGGCAAAAGTCAGGGCCATTCAACTACTTAACGTCACCTCTTCATCAACCAACCAACCTGTGCTCTCAGGACTACAATATGCCTCAAGCAGGCAGAAGAAAGAGGACTTCAACGAGGCATGACAAGCTATCGACATTAAAGGGGGGGGGATGGAAGGCAAGAACCCAAGGTATCGTAAACAAACCACCACTGATGCTAGCCTAGGTCCTAATGGTCACAGCAAAGATTCAGTAAACTAACACTCTCCAAAGAAGCACTTCATCAATTCTGCAGTTGCTCACAGGCTCTAATTCCATCTCAAGCATAGTAACTATGAAGTTGAGGAACAACACTGAGGACAAACATTCCTATACCCAGCAAACACCATGCTAAAACATGGCGTATTTTCCAGGTTTGTTAATGAACTCTAGGGACATAGCACATCCACACCAAACATTTAAAGCACACAGTTTTTACTCAAAGCATATTGGGAACTGTAGTTTGTTAAGTGTGCTGGGAATTGTAGCTCCGTGAGGGGGTGAACAGCAGTTCCCATGTACTTTAAATGTATGGTGCAGATGTGAACTAAGATACAGTTCTCTGGTTCAGAAGTAATGGGGAACTCTGGCTTAAGGCACGCCAGGATCTTAGCACCAAAGTCAACACATAGTGGGAGAAAGAGAGAGCAAGTGGGAGGGTAGGAGCAGATGGCCGCAAGGGCCATGGCTGCATAAACAAAAGTTTTGAAGTTTGGACGACTGCCTAAACATGGCAGGCATATTTTTAGAGGATCTGAAGTATTTCAAAAGTTAGAGTAAGGTATGAAAAGTAGCAACTGTTTGTGGCACAGCTTGAAGTATTATGCTACATCCTATAGAACACTTTTCTGTATGGGAAGACCAACAAGTTGCTCATACTACAGTAGCTGGTGCTAAATGATGGGATGATGACCACTGTCTTTTCTATGCGAATGAGAACAAGTCTCGGTGTGAGTCTGTGTGCAAAAGATGGAGAGAGAAACCATAGGTGCTTCCAGATGGGTGCTTATTATGGGATCAATGCTCCTTCTGCAATAAATATTTTTTGCAGCATTGACGCAATGTCATCAGGAAAAAAATGTCAGCCCCTATCCTACTCTCCCCCGCCATTTAATCTGTATTTACCCCTTCCAGGGGGGAACTCTGATGCCAACAACCCACATGTGATATTCCAAAAACCTGTTTGCAAATTAAGCCCCCATCTGAAGCACCCTATAGAAGTTTGTGTACACGTGGTCCTAGGATGGAGATCATTTGTATGTGAACACGTTTACATTATGTACAACTGTGGTGTGCTGCTTTGGCTGATGTACCTGCACAGGAGAAAGAGAGGCGACTCAGCAATCACAGTTATTTGTAAGTAATCCCTAATTAACAAGCCTCCCTTACTTGGAGGGCTGGAGTTATTCCAGGCATAAGCTAAAACACTTTCCGTTCTTTCCCTTTTCAGTTACTACTTTGTGGAGGGATTGGGGAAGGCACCACAGTGAATTAGAGGAGACTTTTGTTGCATTTAATATCAATTTATTTTTCAGACTTGCTGACATAGCAGGATTGCACCGCTTGGAATTTATGATCCTTTGGGAAGCGCAGGCGCAAAGGGCCTACTGGGGGTGTAGCAAAAAAAATAAATCCCCTGCTACTAGCAGAAAAATATCAGATAGACCAGGAATAGAGGAGTGGCAGTGCTCTTCTGAATAGACCAACTGGGGAAATACTCTTATCAGTGGTGCTAAGCAAGGGGGCTTGGTTTGTGTCGGCTTTCACGACTCCATTTCTCTTAGAATGAGAAAATCCCAGATACAAAGTCATCTGTCTAGCCCAGTATCCCACCACCTGTTGGGAGTTAAATGAGTATCTTATAATCAATTTCAGCTTGGGTTTGTTAGCTTGTGTGTGTGTGTGTGTGTGTGTGTGTGTGAGAGAGAGAGAGAGAGAGAGAGAGCGCACATATACATATGCAAAGGTACTGTATATTCACTTTCATGTTTTATTATGTGCTCCTGTTCTAAGAAGAATGAATGAAATCAAACTAGTCAAGCCCTTAATCATGCCCTTTGCTGGCATGCAAAAGAAGTTTCTTTTTTTATATATAAATATTTATTTTTAAGTGCCAAAAATAACAAAGAAATAAAAAAGTTTTTTTTTTAAAAAAGGACAGAATACACACACACACACACACACACACACACACACACACACACTACCAATACACCCTGTTAGCTCATGTTGATAATACAATTGCCACCAGTACTTCCCACTAAATTTTGCTGAGTCCTGGAAAATGTGCTCCCTGCCTTGCAGACTTTTTGCCACCTTTATTTTAGATCTTATTGTGATTTATAGGACCCTTGAACCTACGGGACCGCCTCTCCTGGTAAGCCCCGCAGAGGACCTTAAGGTCCAAAACACCCTAGAGGTCCAGGGCCCTAAGGAAGTCAGATTAGCCTCAACCAGAGCCAGGGCCTTTTCAACACTGGCTCCGGCCTGGTGGAACGCTCTGTCTCATGAGACCAGGGCCCTGCAGGATCTGATTTCTTTCCGCAGGGCCTGTAAGACAGAGTTGTTCCGCCTGGCCTTTGGCTTGGAATCAGTTTGATTCCCTCCCCCTCTTTCTTTTTCCTTTCTCCTCCTGTGATGAGGCTGCATTTTAATGTTTTAATGTTGTATTTTAATTTTCTTTTTTAAGTTGTATTTAAATCTACTTGTTTTTATTATTGGTTGTTAGCCACCCTGAGCCCGGTCTTGGCTGGGGAGGGCGGGGTATAAATATTATTATTATTATTATGTGGGTATTGTTTGATTTGGTTGTGCACTTTTTGGTGTTTTATTTGTTCTTCATGAACACTTTTGTATTTTTTTTCATGTTGTAAGTTGCCTTGCACATGGTTTTGGCTATGGAAATGTCATGGTTTTGGCATACAGGTGAAACAATGAAGTGAAATCATAGAATTGTTTAGTTGGAAGGGACCCCCAGAGTCATCTAGTCCCATTCCTTGCAATGCAGGAATCTTCTGCCCAACATGGGGCTCAAGCCCATGACGATGAGATTAAAAGTCTCATGCTCTACTGACTGAGCTGTGATGATGAAATGAAATTGTCAGATGGCAAAGGTGGTTGCTCACGAGTAACCAGGCAGGACTCTGACCTGTCTTTTACAGGTTTTATTTAGGTGCAAAACTATTTACAGTGCAGAACCCTAAAGTTCATGTCTGCCTTGATCGCTAGCAGAATCCGGGAGTGCTTGTTTCCTGGACCTTCCCCAACATAAAAGTCTCGTTACGCCCAGCCTTTTCCTTCCCTCTTTGCGCTTTAGACTTATGCGCAGGGTGGGCGACGGAATGGGCGTGCTTCCCTCCTGGCCAGCTTTGCCAGGAGCGGTGTTGAGGCTCCCACCAACATCCTCTGGTCCTTTCACCTCTTCCCCACTGGAGTTGGGTTTTCCTCCTCCCCGGAAGAGGAACTGCTTCGCAAGATTTTCGGAGGCTCCCTGTAACACAACTGCCCCTCTGTTTCCCGCCCCTGTTCTGATGGCAGTTCCCTGACAGAAATCAAACACACAGGTTCAAAATAAGCCCTCTAGGTGTCCAAACATGGACTTGGCATTTATATAACAAAAAACCAAAAAAATCAACTGTAGCAAATGTGGTGAGGTCCTCAGACCATTGCATAATACCGTATTTACTCTAATGTAATGCACACCTTTTTTGGCGAAATTACATCGCATAAATTAGGGTGTGCATTAGACCTGAAGGTGCTTTTACATTCGCCAGAAAATACTTCTTTGGTTTCAAGGTTTTGAAAATTGAGGTGCGGATTAGATTCGATGGCGCATTAGATTCACATAAACACAATAATTGGTGGGTGTTTATCCTTCCAGAAGATCCTTTTGTGGATACAGTGGAACCTCTGGTTACATACCGTCCTCCTTACGAACGCTTCAAGTAATGAGCTCCACTAACCCAGAAGTAGGTGCTCCTGGTAGCGAACTTTGCCCAGGGATGCGAGACGAAGTCGCGCGGCAGCAGGAGGCCCCATTAGCGAAAGCGCGCCTCAGGTTAAGAATGGTTTCGGGTTAAGAACGGACCTCCGGAACGAATTAAGTTCGTAACCGGAGATACCACTGTATTGCAAAAAAAAAAGGGGGGGTTATTGAATGTGGAAGCAATTAACACCAACACTAGGAATTGAGCTCACCCTTACAGCAACTGTGTAACAGGGTGACAGATACTGCTACCTCTGTCTAGCTCCAAATTTCTATGAGCACTACTACTGGGCTCAACATGTAGTTGCTCCCCACCTTCACTGCCGCCCCCCCCCCCCCGCAACCCATTCAAGCACCTCCCTTGCTATCCTACAAACTGTAGGACAGTCTGAGGTGTTGCAGACTGAAGCCATGTCCACACCTCTCAGTGCTGCATTTGAACAAGCATGCTAAAATAAAAACCCAGGCGACAAACATTAAGCATTGTAGGTCCCATATTAAGAAGCAGTTTCTTTGCTGGTTGAGTCAGTTGGCTGCACATAGAGACCGTCGCATCAGTCTCTAAGCTGCTCAGCCAGGTAGTAGTGGTGGATGAAGCAGGCTGAGCCTAGACGGATGGTTGAAAGCAGCCTCCTACTCCCACTTCAAGTTGCCTAGTAAAGCCCTGATGCAGCTCCTCGCTACTCCCTCTGCAGCCAAAAAGCCACTAATCAAAGAGCCATTATTACATATCCCCAAGGGAGCTTTATACAAAGTGATGTGTAACCCAAATGGCTGCTGTAAACAGAGTTTTAAAAAGGGCAGTGTGCAAACTATAGCCTCCCCAAGGATGAAGAAAATTATCTCTCTATTTCTCTACCTCACCACCTTAGTGCTCTATTAATTATTATCTATTACCCATTACTTGCTCTGCATGCTACCCGCAGGTCCGTGAGGAACGCCTTCCAAGCCAGCGATGCCACAGGAAGACGGGATGATGTGGACAGCCATACACAAAATTTGCATGGAGGAAAGTTACTACAGAAGTCACATTGAAGCTCCAACTTTGAAGCCAAACTGCAGGGCTATCAGAAAGAGGTGTGGTGGACGCAGGAAAGTGCACTCACACACAGGTTGCTTGAGCTTCATTGTGCTCCAACATACCTTGTTACCAGATCATCCTTCCGCCCCTGCCTGCATCTCCTGCATCTGGGAGAAAGGCCTCCAGCAAAAAAAAGTTGGGAAGAAGGGGCTAGTATAACTTCCTATGCCTCCGGTTTCCCCCGAAACAATATGGGATCGGGAATTCAGGTTCCTCCCACTGATCCATAAAACCAGATTCTGTCTCTGCCTCATCTGTAGCATAGCAGAGGAGGACAAACACGGTTTTTTATTTAGGCTGGCAGAAGACTAGAATAAACCAGTTCAATAGGTTGAGAGTGAAAGATCCTCTAAGGAAACAAGATAACATCATAGGGAAGCCCAGGTTGTTTTAGAGGTGTCTGTATGCATGTGCTAGAAGGTTTGAGCTTGAAAAGAAAAAGGTTACAGTGGAAAACAGTATTATCCATTTTGGGCCTAGTGTGAGGGAGATGCCATAGGTTATGAAAGAGGACTCATATACCAGAGATAACGGGTTAAATATAGTCTAGAAGAATGTATTTTTTATTCTATTCTGCTGTGCAACTTGCCCCACCTTTCCCCTTTATTTTATTGTTTTTAACCCACCTACCTTCAATGAAGTTCCTCTTGAGTTCATTACAACTGGACATTCAGTGCTGTGTTATGAAAGGGTGGGGAACTTGAAGTGAACTCAACTTTAGGGTGCTCTGCCCATGTGGAAATGCACCGTTATTCTGCAAACCATCTCTTAGCAACGTAGAACGTGCTCATCCAACAAGCTGGACTATTTGTGCACTTGGCACCTAGAAACCTCAGAGTAAAACAGCCCAGGGTTCCAAAGCCTATGTCAAATGGATAAAGCAAATAAACCAAGGACCAGGGGAACTCAAAGCAACAGGAATACACTATAAGAAGAACTGGAAAAAGGTCTGCAAATCCTGTGCACATCTACTCATAAGTAAATCCCATTGCTTCCGGGTACATGCTTATATGATTCTTAAGCCCTTTTTTAATTTAATGGGATTTACCTCTGAGAAAACATGCATAGGATTATGCTGTAATTCTGTGACCCTGCAGGATGATAATGACTGCACTCGTATTGCGCACTTCAAAGTTAAGGCAGCATATTGGCACAAGAAAGATGCCTGGGAACATTCTTCTCATGCAGAATTGCTCCCAGAAGCCCATTCAGTTTGCATGGGAGCTCTTCAAACATCAGAGTCTCCCCTCAACTGATAGATTTCAGTGTCCTCAACTTCCAGTCAAGACTCCACCTGCCCCCCTCCCTGTTCTCACCTCGCTCTGCTCACGCCAGTTCTCTGCTCAATGGTAATCCTAACCAATTCCAGCCTGCTGGCATTACAAGCACATCAAAGCTATGCACTCAAAATCCAGGTCACTCTTCAAAGAGGGAGACCCTTGCGTGATGCCCTTTCCTGCACCTCAGGGTCCCCGTATACCCCAAAACCGTCATGTTGCCATGGAAATCATCCCAGTTCCCAGTGGCTGGATTAACTTCATTTCCTCCCAGTCTGATAACTTCCCTTCCCCTACCTGCCCATTCCAGCAAAAGCATCATACATCTATTTGCCTCTCTTTCACTCACAACTCTCAAATGTGTGGATTGCCCTGTGTTCAAAATGGGAGCTCACAGGGCAAGACAACGGTGGGTGTAAAGACGCTGAGGAAGGTCTGTCAAAAATACTGGTGGGGGTGAGCAAATCTCTCACACAAAATCCTCTCCACTGGCCCAGTAGCTAATACAGTAGCAATATGAAGATGACACACGGCTCTATTTATTTACATCTGCAGGCGGAGTGGATGTGCCTTGGTATTGGACTGGATGAGAGCCAACAAACCAAAGCTCCATCCAGATTAAGACAGGTGGTTCCCTAGACCAGACCCAAGTTGGAAGTGGCCATGAGGGTCATCTAGTCCAACCTACTGCAATGCAGGCCAAAGGTGGGGAACCCACAACTCTGAGATTAAGAGTCTCATGTTCTACCAACTGAGCTATCCTGCAAGCTCTTGTATTGGGAACATTGGGAACTGCCCTGAGATCTATGGATGAAGGGTGGTATACAACAACAACAACAACAACAACAACAACAACAACAAATGCATACCAGCTTCAAGGTACTGGGACTCCCTAACCTGAGCTGAATGCTCACATACCAGCTCATAAGGGGGAGGGGACTGTTGGGAAAGGGAGAATGGTTGTTCCTGGTTGTTTCCCCAAAACACACCTCCCCACTCCTCCAAACTTTCTTGTGGTTTTCTCACCTTGGGTAGGCCCATTCCTTTATTGTGGAAACATTACAGTTATGCTCATTTTGCTGCACAACTCTGTCATTTTCCTGCTACCTCATACAGCTGGGGACATGTGAAGTGGTCAACTGGGGGAAGGTTCCTCTCTGTGGGTAATGAGGCAAACTAATTAAAGCTTTACGAGAAGCCTACTAGTGTTTTGGAAGGGGGAAAAACTGGGAGCAGGGATTTCACATCCAGGAAGCCAGCAAGTAAAAGCTGGCTTGCTCCCGATTTGGGAAACAGCAGGGGCTGTCTGGGTTCTAAGGTCCCTGAGGGATGCATAGCATCTTACATAGCTAGTTGCCACAGCTTGAAGCCAATTAAACCCACACTAGCATGCTAACAGGAGTTAGCTCAGTTGGTAGAGCATGAGGCTGTTAATCTCAGGGCCGTGGGTTTGAGCCCCACACTGGGCAAACAAATCCTACATTGCAGGGAGTTGCATGGTCCTTTCCCACTCCACAATTCTATGATTCTACCAGCTCCTGTTGCCCATCTCAGGTGGGGTAGGGCAGGCCACATCCCAAACTTCAATGAGCACAACAATGCCTAAAGGATCAGCTGCCTAAAGCATTTAAAGGATAGCCAATGTGGTATAGTGGCTAGAATGTTGGACCAGGGTTCAATCACCATCCAGCCATGAAGCTCACCTTGGGTCAGTCACAGTCTCTCAGTCTAACCTCAAAGGGTTGTTGTGTGGATAAAGGGTAGTGTGTGTGTGTGTGTGTGTGTGTGTGTGTGTTTATATGCCTGTTGCCTTTGTCCATGGAGTTTTCTTTGCAGGGATACTGGAGTGGCTTGCCGGTTCCTGCTCCAGGTGGATCATGTTTGGTCAAAACTCTCCACTATGGCCTGTCCATCTTGGGTGGCCCTGCACAGCATAGCTCATGGCTTCTCTGAGTTATTCAAGAAGGCTGATCGCCGAAGAATTGATGCTTTTGAATTATGGTGCTGGAGGAGACTCTTGAGAGTCCCATGGACTGCAAGAAGATCAAACCTATCCATTCTTAAGGAAATCAGCCCTGAGTGCTCACTGGAAGGACAGATCGTGAAGCTGAGGCTCCAATACTTTGGCCACCTCATGAGAAGAGAAGACTCCCTGGAAAAGACCCTGATGTTGGGAAAGATGGAGGGCACAAGGAGAAGGGGACGACAGAGGACGAGATGGTTGGACAATGTTCTCGAAGCTACAAACTGCGGGAGACAGTGGAAGACAGGGGGGGAGGAGGCAGTGGAAGACAGGAGTGCCTGGTGTGCTCTGGTCCATGGAATCATGAAGAGTTGGACACGACTAAACAACAACAACAACAACAACAACAACAACAATGTGTGTGTGTTTGTGTATGGCACCTTGAGATCCTTGTTGCTAGAAAGGCAGGCTATAATTGTAAGGAGGAAAATTTATGCAAAGGTGCCACTGTGGCAAGCAGCACAATTTGCAAGGATGAGAAGCAAGGGACTCCTCAATTTGACCTGCAAGAACTGGCAAGAAAGAAGCAGACAAAGGGGAAAGGGCTTAAGTGAGGTTCAAGGAGAGGCAAACATGGCAGCAATGCATCCTCCACTGCCCATCCTGAGCTAGACCTATGACACAAGTGCAGGAGAACAAAAGGGTGGAAGAATCGTAGAGTTGGAAGGGACCACGAGGATTATCTGGTCCAACCTCCTGCAGTGCACCCAACGTGGGGCTCTAACCTAAGACCCTGAGATTAAGAGACTTATGCTCTAGAAGAGAGATGTGAAAAGATGGAAATGACCCAAAGAGGTGGTGGGGCTTAAGCTCAGTCCACAAAATGTAGTAAAAAACACATTTCTGTCCTTCCTAGAATAACATGACCTCAGCTGTGGAGCAACATCCAAATGTGAGTCAGATGAAATCTTGCTTATTGTAGGAATGAGACAGCACCACAAAAGCTTTGGCAAGAAGCGCTAATACAATCCATGGATGACTCTAGAGGAAGCTTCCAAATTCTGACTGGTCACAATCATTAAGAAACCCCTGGAAAGCTAATATAGGCAGTCTGGTACAATTCTCCTAGCACCACCCCAGGTATCTATAGTAAAATGTAGTCTGGATCACATTTCCCTCTGGTCTGTTCAGCACAAACCAGTGTGGCAGATTGGCTGGAGTGTCAAGTATGGATTGGGGAAACCTGGGTTCAAATCCCCACTCAACTACGAAGCTCACTAGCTGACTTTGTGCCATAAATCTCTCTCAAAGTAACCTACCTCACAGCGTTCCTGTGAAGATAAGTGGTGGTGGTGGTGGGAAGAACCATATAATCTATTATGAGCTTGGAGGAACAATGGGACAGAAAGCGTAGTTTTATTTTTATCACTCTTTGCTAGGCTAAAACTCTTCTCCCGCTGTAATCTGCCTTAATGGGGTCTTTCTGTGGGTTTCTTACTCCTTTTCTAGGGACCCTGATTGTTTGAATGCAAAAGAGTATTTCTGAAATTGAAATGAGTGAACTGTCCAAGGGGCTGTGGAGGGAGAATGGAGGAAAACATATGTGACCATTAGATGGGATCTACCTGCAGTTCTCATAAGGCCAATTCAGGAGCAGCAGGCTCCTCCCCAGACCCACAAGTGCAGAGACAATCCATAATGGACCCAGGACCATACAGAGCTGGCCCATGACTGCTAAGTGCTTTGCAAAAGTCTTCTAAGCTCTTGCCAGAGCAGCTATAGAAAAGGATGCTGCTAAGAAGTTAGGAAATAAGGACTCCGAGTGAACTGGGCAGCGTGTTCAGTGTTGGTCTCCCTGCCGCCCATGCAATGCTGCCTCCTCACCGCATGCCATCCCATCATCCATGGGCCAGTGGCAGCCCTGATGCAAATTGACATCTGGCAAATGAATGGTGGGAGCAATTTTAACCTCCATCACACACACGCTTCAGTAGCAGTCAGGCTATTTGGTCCTGGTTTTTGTATGTTAGCAAGAGGCGGGGAAATTCCCTAGCAGGGATAGCATTGCAGTCAGATTAGAACCGCAGAACCGGGCAGGGTCTGGTATCTGTGCAAAGTGAAGGGCTCTTGTCCTTGCCACTCTGATAGCTATTTCCTGCAAGAAGCATCTTGAGTAGGCAAGAGGCTTGGTCACAAACAGCCCTACCTCACAGGGTTGTTGTGAGTATAGCATGGGGGAAAACTACTGTACACTGCCTTAAGCTCCTCAGGGGAAGGATGAAGTGCGAATGCTGTTCCCTCCCTCTCAAGACCACGTAAGACAGTGCAATTGTTAAAACAAGTTTTTGTTTCAGCAACGTATTACAGAGAACAAGAGAAAGATAACCTTAAGCCTGGCCATCGTCACCAGTTTCCCCTCTCCAATTCCTATCTGCTTCCAATACAGGGGAAGCTAACAGGTGTCTCCTTTTCCACTACAGAGTCTGTGACGCCATCCTTGGCCTGAACAGGTGACTTTGCTCATTTGCTGTAAGCACAGTTGCAGTCTTTAGATCCCTTGCCTTTCTCCCACACAGCCCTGGTTGCTTCCAGCCTCCAATACATTTATTGTACATTCCCTTCTAAATCATGGCTGAAGGCTGGCCTGCTTGCTCGCCCGCTCTCCATTACAGAGAGAGCCCTGCACTGCTGCGGTGCAGTTCCGTTTAGTTTGCAGAAAAAGCAGCCTCTCCGGAGAAACCCACCCAGGAGCTGTCCAGTGCTGAACTCTGGGATGATGGACGATTATGGACCATCTGCACTTTCAGAGCGGGATAGATTTATGAGCCATACAGACAGCTCAAAGAGTGTCCATTACTATAACTCACTGGCCTCTTCAGAAAGATTCTAATCAGGTCTTTTCTGCCACCACTGCAACGTCCAGGTTAAGAACTGGCAAGAAAGAAAATCAATTATGTTTTTTTAATATGCTCTTGGCAACAGCATAGGGCAAGGGGTGTGAGTGAGTGTGTGTGTGCGCGCGCGCACACACACACACAACTAGTACTTGACCCAGAATATCCTTTTACAGTGGACATCCTCAGTGTGTTTAAAGAATAGCACAAGACCACAAACTTTGCATGCTGCAGCTAAGTGTCTTGCTAGAGCTTTGCAGCTGTTCTGCCACACCCCAAGTTGAGAGAGCTTTGTAGCAGACAGGGACCGCAAATGAGTGGCTGCAGCACGGATGTTAACTCAACAGACAGCAGTTGATATAAGCAAATGGGATCCTGCTTTTGATGTAGGCTGCTGCAGGGATGTTGCCCTGTATGAATGTAAGTTTTTCTCTTCTTTACACCCTTGCAATTTCACATATTAGTCCAAGGAAATAGGTTCTACAGATTGATTGTATTATTTTGAGGAAGCAAAGTAATTTTCTTGACTTGCTTAAAAGCTTATAGTCACGTTACATATGGACAGCCCCTAGAATTATGGAATATGGTAAATGGCAATACAACATATGGGTATCCGTACATATTTCTTATCATTTGTGTATTTGAAAACATGGGTATTGAATACATGAGTGCTTAAAAATGAATTTTTTTAGGGATCGAAGGGGAGAATAGACACACCCAGAGAGTGAATACTGTGTGTGTGTGTGAATGCATGCATGTATACGTGCATTGATGCACACACACACACACACACACACACACACACACACTGCCACTAACAGAGCTCTTTCCTTCCACCTCCACATGCTACAGAAGGTCCAAGCCTCTGAAGAGGGGAATGTGGCATAATGAATAACAAATGGCCAACTCCCTGTACTTCTGTTTGGCATTTTTTAGCAGTGGATTATGGCTGTCATGCGGCAATTAAAAAGGTGTCATAAAATGCTAAGTGTTCATATTTCATGGCTCCTAGTCTCCTCTGCTGCAAGGAGGACTGGGCTGGACTGAGATGAGCTTGCTCTCCTTTGACTTTTTTATGGTGGAACTGAAACGGGGGAAATGATTTTTTCCTCTCACTCACCCATCCACCCCACTGGGTAAGCTTTGTGGAGAGCTCATCCAGAAGATACTGAGCCCTGGGCAGATGGAGTGCAAACCTGGTCCAACATTTTCCTTCCCTCAGCCTTTGAGAAACTTGCACTGGAGGAAGCAGCCTGTTGTGTTGTTTGTGCCTGGAGGTCTAACTTCACTTTTGCAAGAGGTTAGTTTTTTCTCTCTCACCCTGTTTCAAGGAAATATTTAGGGTAAAGTTCAAAGAAGTTCATTCCGTCAGCACAAGTGTGCTGGAGCCATTTCCTCTCTCCTCCCATCATGCCCAGAATCCCATCTGGGGGTTCTCCCAACCACTGAGAGCGAGATCTGAGGGAGGCTCAGGTGGGCACAGGGATAGGGGCGAGAGTTGGAGGAAGAAGAAGAAGAGTTTGGATTTGATATCCCGCCTTTCACTCCCCTTCAGGAGTCTCAAAGCGGCTAGCATTCTCCTTCCCCTTCCTCCCCCACAACAAACACTCTGTGAGGTGAGTGAGGCTGAGAGACTTCAGAGAAGTGTGACTGGCCCAATGTCACCCAGCAGCTGCATGTGGAGGAGCGGAGACGCGAACCCGGTTCCCCAGATTACGAGACTACCGCTCTTGACCACTACACCACACTGGCTCACTGGAGGAGAGAAGGGGAGCTCTGTTGTGCTAGAAGGTGCTACAGCACAGATTTACATTAGCAAACTGGGTTAGTTGAATCCGGCCCTTAAGATTTTGGTTTTATAGATGCAGCCACAGGCAAAGGCTGTCTGAAATCCACACGAAGGCCAAATATACATACAGCATATTCCCCATGTGTTGATAACCTCCCAAACCTGCACATCTCTACTTCAGTTCTGACCTATCATGACTCTCCTGTCCTACTTGAGGCCTTCTTTCAAATTCCAAGGACAGTTCCAAATCACCATGATCATAACCAGTGCTATTTTTTCTAGAAAAAGAGGTGCCGGAACTCACCATGAACGCTTCCCTTGTTGCAATGGGACAGGTACCCCCCTGAGAGGTGCTGGAGCTGAGTTCCGGCCGTGGGAAAACAAAACTCTGATCATTACCTTTTTGATCACCACACTGTTTTGTTGGAGTGGTTGCTCTGCACAATTCACACAGCCACTGTGCTCACCTGTGCCTTGCTAAGCCCAACCTAGAAGGATCAGGACGGATGCCACTGTTACAACAACAACAACAGCAATGGTAGCAACCAACAGGCCATGATGGTTGGTTATTTCTCTTCCCTGTTCTTCCCTCACAACCTCCCACAGTAAATGGTGGAAGCCGGTGTCTGAACACAGGCCAATTCCCCTGCCCCAAGCTCAACTGCAAAGACCAGCACGAACAGTGGGGAGCAGTGGCTGAAAGTGTGATACATGAAGGAACTGGTTCGAATCTTATCCAAGCTGCTAACTCATACCAGGTGGCTGCTGGAAAGCTGCCTCAGCTCCTTCCCCTGCCCCACATGCATACATTGCAATATGGGGATAATAATAATATTGGCCTAATTTGCAGGATTATTTTAAGGCTTACTGTGAAATGCTTTGAACCACAACAACAAAACCACTCAATATAAATTCTAGATATTATTATTGTTATAGCTGTGTCCTTTGTTATCTAATTAGGTATAAAATAAGTAAGAACATTATATCTGAGCAAGCCAAACAATTCACAAGTCCCACTTAGTCCAACCTCTAATAAAACACTCGGGGATTTCAGGAAGCATGAGATGAGTTTTCATAATGTGGGTGAGTGGGTGGTACAGTCCTACTCAGGCTTCCACAACCCGGGAAGCTGCTGTTAATGGGCTAGGGCTGGAATGAGCAGAGATCTTGCAATGAAGAGAGCACAGTTGGCAGCAGACTCGCGTGACGCCGTTAGGTGAGAGCTTGTGCTCAGCACTTTCCTTTTTGAGCTGGAGAAGGAAGTCCATGAAGTCTAGCACTTGAATACATTTATCGAGAACATTTAGTCTAACATATAGGATCTCCACACCTCTAAGTATTACACACTGGTGGCCCAACACAGTGGCAGTGTTGGCACATGATGCTAAGCCAAACCATGGCTTTACTATGAACACACCAATGTGGTGACTCCTGAGGAGGAAGCCATAGCTGCTTTGCTCCTACCTGGGCTTTTCAGGTCAGTGCAGTGTGCCAGTTATGCCAAGGTTTGGCTTACAATGCTGTCCAAACCAGGGATCATGGTTATGGTCTTTCATTTTAGGACCAGCTTAATTTAGCTGCTGTCCTTGTTGTTTTTTAGTCGTTTAGTGATGTCCGACTCTTTGTGACCCCATGAACCAGAGCACGCCAGGCACTCCTGTCTTCCACTGCCTCCCGCAGTTTGGTCAGACTCATGTTGGTAGCTTCGAGAACACTGTCCAACCATCTCGTCCTCTGTCGTCCCCTTCTCCTTGTGCTCTCCATCTTTCCCAACATCAGGGTCTTTTCCAGGGAGTCTTCTCTTCTCATGAGGTGGCCAAAGTATTGTAGCCTCAGCTTTAGGATCTGTCCTTCCAGTGAGCACTCAGGGCTGATTTCCTTCAGAATGGATAGGTTTCATCTTCTTGTAGTCCATGGGACTCTCAAGAGTCTCCTCCAGCACCGTAATTCAAAAGCATCAATTCTTTGGCGATCAGCCTTCTTTATGGTCCAGCTCTCACTTCCATGCATCACTACTGGGAAAACCATAGCTTTAACTCTACGGACCTTTGTTGGCAAGGTGATGCCTCTGTTTTTTAAGATGCTGTCTAGGTTCGTCATCGCTTTTCTCCCAAGAAGCAGGCGTCTTTTAATTTCATGACTGCTGTCACCATCTGCAGTGATCATGCAGCCCAAGATAGTAAAATCTCTCACTGCCTCCATTTCTTCCCTTTCTATTTGCCAGGAGGTGATGGGACCAGTGGCCATGATCTTAGTTTTTTTGATGTTGAGCTGCAGACCATATTTTGCGCTCTCCTATTTCACTCTCTCTTTTTAAAAAAAATGATATTTATTGAAGTTTCAAAAAAGGTTACAAAAATAGGAAAAAGAAAAAAAAGAAAAGAAAAAATACAAAATACAGAAAAGTAAAAGCACTTAAAAACAAATCAATCTTTCCATGTCTTGTCTTTCATTTACTTGTTTCCCTGACCTCCTCACACCTCCCTTTTTTGTATTCCAGTTCAGTTAGCTAATTCAGCAAATCCTTTCCCTCTTTGTTTTTATCCTAATCCTTTAACTTAATATATTGTAACTTTAGATTCTCACCTGTTAACAATCCATTCTTACATACTCCTTTGTAACATTGCTGCTAAAACCACTTAACTTCATTCTGACATAATTCTAACATTCATTAATTTTACAGTATTTCTGTAAATAGTCTTTAAATTTCTTCCAATCTTCTTCCACCAACTCTTCTCCCTGGTCTCGGATTCTGCCAGTCATTTCCGCCAGTTCCATATAGTCCATCACCTTCATCTGCCATTCTTCCAGGGTGGGTAGATCTTGTGTCTTCCAATACTTTGCAATAAGTATTCTTGCTGCTGTTGTAGCATACATAAAGAAAGTTCTATCCTTCTTTGGCACCAATTGGCCAACCATGCCCAGGAGAAAGGCCTCTGGTTTCTTCAGAAATATATATTTAAATACCTTTTTCATTTCATTATAGATCATCTCCCAGAAAGCCTTAATCCTTGGGCACGTCCACCAAAGGTGAAAGAATGTGCCTTCAGTTTCTTTACATTTCCAACATTTATTATCGGGCAAATGATAGATTTTTGCAAGCTTGACTGGTGTCATGTACCACCTGTATATCATTTTCATAATATTCTCTCTTAAGGCATTACATGCCGTAAACTTCATACCTGTGGTCCATAACTGTTCCCAGTCAGCCATCATTATGTTATGTCCAACATCTTGTGCCCATTTAATCATAGCAGATTTCACCGTTTCATCCTGAGTATTCCATTTCAACAGCAAGTTATACATCTTTGACAAAATCTTGGTTTTGGGTTCTAACAGTTCTGTTTCCAATTTTGATTTTTCCACCTGGAAGCCAATTTTCTCTATTTCACTCTCATTAAGAGGTTCTTTAATTCCTCCTCACTTTCTGCCATGAAACTTGTGTCATCTGCATAGCTGCTGTCCTATGGTGACCTAAAAAGTCTGGGGAGGAGCAAAGCAGATGTGAGTTCCTTGCTGGAGCCAGCACATTTGCCTTGTTGCAGCCTTACCATGTTTGAAAACCAGGCAAGTGAAAGCCTCACTGCTCCAAATCTAGGGAGTCCATTCAAGAGAGTTTTTATAAGCCCATGGATGAAAACCCACTTCCCAGAGTCCCTTATGAGTCCAGCCACATTAACAGCAAAGGGTGCAATAAAAAATAAAATAGACCTGGACCTGCAACTGTTGCTGCTGTTAAGTTATGAGCTTTAATACTGAGCTGGTGGGAAAGTTCATTTCTTCTCAAGCTATTAAAAATGTAATGTTGGGAGGGAGTGAAATGGGAATGTTTGCAGGTCATTTTGAATGTTTTCAAGAACTTTGTTTTGCATTTGGTGAAAATGTAGAAAGGGGGATTTCTAATTAATGATTTGTCAAAACAAGAGTGTGATTTAATACAACTGAACAAAGAATACAAAGGGTTAGGCTGTTTGCTTCCTTTTGTGTGTGTGTGTGTCCAGCATCTGAAGCAGCCATAGCT